CACCTTCTGTCTTCCTCCTCCCCCCTTCTCTTCTTCCTGTTGCTGCTGCCGCTGCTGTTGCCCGTTGTTGCTGCTGGCGTTGCCAGCTGCTGCGCGCGCGCATCTCTGCACAGTCTTCACGCGACTCGTGCACCCAGCAGAGCTCCACCTACAGCCTCAGTGAGCGTGTCCGCTGGCGGTCCCCACAGCAGTTCGGTACACCGTTCACGAATGTTGCGCCTCATTAATTCGTGTGAAGACTCGTGTAGCAGCGGGACACCTTGCAAGTCGATGGGGGGCCAACCATCCTTCTATAAGGTTTCAGTGCGTTGGGTCTCTCCAGGGGATCGGCCGGCTTTTAGGAACCTGGTGAGGCTGTGAGGCCGCCGTGGGAGATGTGTGGGCTCATCTGGGAGTTTTCTACGGACCGTCTTGGGTCGTGGGCTGTTTAGGAGTTGGGCTCGTCTTGGGCCGTCTTGGGACGCCATGCAGCAGCTTGGGGCTGTCTTGGGTTATCGTGGTTGCCGCTTGAGACATCACGGAGGCTGTCCTGGGTGGCCCAGAGGGTGTCTTGTGGCCTTGCTGGAGCCATCCTGGGTCAAGATGGGCAAACATTGCAGTCTGAACACGCCATATTGAGATACTCCACCCTACGGCGACGATCGAAGGATCTTCAGTGCCATTGCTCTTTGCGAAGACCGTCCAGCAGGATTGAGATCTTGGCCGTTGTCCTTCCATCGGAGCTGGTTTCGTCTACGATCCGCGTGCTGCATGTCGTCACTTTTGTTGTATGTTTAGGTTTGGTGTAGATGTGGTACGGGGAAGTGGGGAAGCCGAGGAAGGGGGCGGAGGTGGATGAAGAGGCGCTCCAGGTGGAGGAGGAGGAGGAGGAGGAGGAAGAGAAGGAGGAGGAGGAGGAGGATGAGGAGGAGGAGGAGGAGGGGGCACGCAAGAGAAGGTCGGAGAGCTTGAGGCGAGGTCGCGGGCAGCCTTGCCGGGGCCCGCGGGGTACAGGGCCCGGTCCGCCAGGGGGGCACGGCCAGGAAGGGGATGGGTTGATGATCCTCCGGACGTGTGTTTGCCCAGTGTGTGGTTACCCCCCCGTTCAACCCAGCCAGTCGATCATCGCATCGCCCTCGTCGTAGCGAAGGGCCTCAGGGGGCAAACGCACGTTGGCGCTCACACACGTTCTGAGCATCCTCCTTCTCCTCCTCCTCCTCCTCCTCCTCCTCCTCCCATTCATCCTCCCCCTCCTCCCCCTCCTCCTGCTCCTCCTCCTCCTCCTCCTCCTCCCATTCATCCTCCTCCTCCTCCTCCCATTCATCCTCCCATTCATCCTCCCCCTCCTCCCCCTCCTCCTCCTCCTCCTCCTCCTCCTCCTCCTCCTCCTCCTCCTCCTCCTCCTGCGAGTGGGGGAGGAGCACCGCGACCATGGCGACCGTAGCGCCGGCGCCTCGCCAGACCCAGGCGCGGCCTCCCGCCCCGGGCCGCGGCCGCTCTCGGGGCGGAGCGCGGGGCGAGCGCCGGGGCTCTCCAGCCACGGCAGCGGGGCCTCCTCGGGCTGCTCGGCGGCGGCGACAGTCAGAGGAGGGCAGGGCGAGACAAGGGTGACGTTTTGGCCGTTTTGGCCTTTTTCGCCTCCGAGGGGCCTCCTCGTCGCCACAGCTGGACGCAGCGCGAAACATCGGTGCGTTTGGACCCCGGGAGGGGTCCGGGTTCCGATTTTGAGCCGATTTGGCCACCGTTGTCTCACGGCCGTTGTCTCACGTTGCCATCCTCCGAGATAGGGGCGAATGGCCCAGGGGCGGGCATTACGCGTGTTCGCCCGGGAACCTTCTCGAAGGCATAGATCATCGGCGCACCTGAATACATGTATTGCTCTCCCCTGGGCTATTCGTCCCTATCGTCGCCTCTGAGCTGCCCTCGATCCTCCCATCGTTGCCCCTCCCCATCCTCGATCCAGCGCGTGTGTCGCTTCCGACTGTTGGAGGCGCGAGCGACTTTGTTTCCGAGCGTTCAGCAGTGCGCTGGTCCGCCCCCCAGCGACGCCGGGGAGGCGGACTGCGCCCTCTTTGCGTAATACAGCTAGGATGCAGCCGGACCGGGGTATAAGATCGAGGTCGGTTCGGGGAGGGTACCCTGCTTCGTGCTTCTGGGATGCTCTTGCGCATTCTGGGGATTGTACCCTTGGATGTTCTGTCTGTTTTGGCCGGCGGAGGGTCTCATGCTCTGGGAGTGTGTTTTTTTCGGCCCTGGGTCCGCCTGTACCACCCCTCTGCTGCTCTCCCCGTGCTCCAGGAGGTGCTCTGGCAGGGGTGCCCCATGGCAGGCATCTCATCGGGGCCCTTTGGCGCTCCCTCTCGAAGTGGGATGCTTCCCAGCCGCACCTTCGGCGCTCCGCGGGAGCTCCGGAGCCGCCCCCGGGCGCTGCCAGGCGCTCTCGGGGGTGGCTCCCGCGGGGCGCCGCTGGAGGCTCCCAGGGCGTGCCCTGGCGCTCGCTGGGAGCTCAGGTGCGCTTCCCAGACGCCCCTATGCACGTCCTCACCAGCCTGGAACTGGTTGGCATCACTGCACCTCGATGCCGATCCTGAGGATTCCCTCAGTTTCCGAGGGCGCATCCCTGATAGTCAGCGCCTTCGGGCTTGTCAATCCTGGGGTTACGTCGGGCGCGTCCCTCTACAGGAGGAATATTCAAAAATAGTCAAAACATAGTTTTGAGACGATTTTTTTTTGACAATTTTTGACCATTTGGGAGTATTTTTGGGGCATAGTTTATTTTTCATCCAAAATCCCCCTGTAGGGGGACATGCCCGACTTAATCCTAGGGATAGGCATCAGCTCAAGGCTGGTTACATGCACCGCCCGTGCGCCCCCGAGAGTTCGGCAAATCGGAGGTCCGGGTCTCGAACAATCCCGCAATCCCGTTACCACTCACAGGTGCGCGACTTTTCGGGCTCTCCCGTACTCTGGAGGTCGCAAAGGGGTGGTATAAAGGGGTGCGGTGCCAATGCTGAAAATGGTGATGTCATCTACGACAGCCGCACGTGCGTTGCATCAATTTCAACAACGTTGACCTGACGCGGACCGCCTCAAGCAACGTCAGAGATCTTGTTTCCAACTTCCCCAAACGACCGCAGGTTTATGTGAACGGCAACACTGTACCTGTTCCTGGACGCCCGATACAACACCTTGTTGCGACCTCCAATCGTACGTGCTCAAAGTTGAGGACTATTATTGACCTGAGGACGCTCCACTCGGTGCCACTGGCACAGTCTCGTTTTTGTTGTTGTTGTTGTTGTTGTTGTTGTTGTTGTTGTTGTTGTTGTTGTTGTTGTTGTTGTTGTTCTTGTTGTTGTTGTTGTTGTTGTTGTTGTTGTTGTTGTTGTTGTTAGGTCACGCGACCATGATTGATCACCCTCTTCCTTTCTCTGCCGTTCCAAAGCGAGCGAGAGAGAGAGAGAGAATTAGTCATGAACCGATTTGCCTGGGGGGAACACTGGAGGGTGCTTCCGCTTTGCATGGCAAGGACGACTGCGAGTCCGCTGGGCAGCTTGTTTTGGCAGCATTGGTTCATGTGCCCCCTCTTGTTCACCGAGCGCGTTCCACTACTCGCAAAGTGCCTACTCGCAAACGTCCGAAATAAAACAGGTCTCCTAGATGTAACGGATCGTAAATCCCCCGCGGCGGAACCAGGCCATTTGCGAGTAGTTACTTCTGCGAGTGGAGGAGCGTGCTCGTCCACTTGTGCCCACTCCCCCTCTATGATAAGTGCAAGGTGCGGCCCAGAGCATGCACTCAAGAGACAAGTCATGGACATCTGCTAGGGCATTCATGTGGAGGGTAACTGATGCAGGCTGGGGGGTGACATGAGGGAGGCATGAAAGGATTCATGGAAAGGGAGGGGAGTGCCAGGGACGACGGGAATGAACGCGATAGAGGCAGTAGAGGGAACAGGGGAGCGGGAGGCCTGAAGGCAGGGGAGGGACGGACGGAAAGAGGGAGCACAAGAAGAGCAACAAGGCACCGGCAGCATGCATCTCGCCACCTCGACAGGCACGAGGCGCCCCCCTCGGCGACCTCGACGTTCTAGGAATTCCAGGCGGAGTTGTCCAGGGCAGAGCTTCTCTCGGGGACCACCTGCTGGTTCCGACTGAGCGCAGATCCTGCGCGACGGTGGGTGCGTTGCCTCGGTACCCTGGTGGGCTCCCAACTACGCCCAATGTTTCGAGTGCCTGCAGGTGGAGGCGCCTCCACCGCCTCCGAGACGGACCTTGCTCCTTGCAACTCCGTGTGCGCCTTCCTCGGCCTTTGCTCTGGCCCTGTCAGAGCGTATGCCCATCTGCTTGCGGTGTCATAGACCTATGGTGCGGTCTTCTTTGTTAACGTCGCTCCAGGCCCAAAGACAGGATTTGCATCAGCACGCAGCAACATAATTCAGCATCTACGGCTGGCGAATCTAGATGGCATGACACTGTTTGTGTCCATGACGTCCGCCACACCTATTAGTTTCTTGCAGGTAAGCACTCACCTGTAGGCTATCATTTCACTGAACATACTAATGCTTTGCGGCCCCTTGCTGATGATCTTACTGCAGAGAAGGGCCAATGCCTGTCAGCACGGGGCAGTCGAGCGTGTCAGAAACCGACGCCGATCTTGCCAATTCAATTTATTTCCAGCGCTCCGGGCACAGCCTGCGCACGCGAGCTTCCAGAGCGGAGAGGAACACCAGAGATGCCGACGCTTATTTTTCCGCCTGTTTTTGTTGGGTGGATTTTGCTTATCTGTTTATCTGTCTATCTCTTTGTCTCTCTCTCTCTCTGCCTCGGGTGAGGAGGACATTGTAACGAAGGGGCGTCGACATCATATGAGGTTAGACAACATTGGTATGCCCTGTGGGGGCCCCCTCTTTGGGGCCAACCTGCCTTCCCATAGTAACAGGAGTAGCGGGGATCAGGATTCGGCGCCCGCTCTGGGGGCAGGTCGAGGTCGAGGTGGTCAACGCGATCTCAGCAGGCATGCTCTCTATCCCTTCCCAGCCAGAAGGCGTCGTCAATAGTTGACGCAGTGTTTTGAATCGTTCATGCCAGCGGGCAGTCCATCGATCACTACACACATGCGTACATGGGGATCGTTTCTTCCTCTCGTTTTAGTAGGGCGGGCTGAGTGGAGGGTTGCAAGTGTTGTGCGGTGGCTGGGTGGGTTGGCCAGGGGTCGCGTAGCGGATCGCTTCGATGACCGCTTCTCTCCATGCGGTCATCCGATCGCCTTTCAAGCGAGATTGGACTGATACAGTGTCTGCTCGGAAAGCGATCTCGAGAGTTGCCATGCCCGATCCTCGGCTTCGTGGCCCAGGACCTCATCCTCTTCATATCGTGCATTTTTGTTTGTTTGTTTCCCCTTCGTGCTATCCTCTTCATCCTCCTCGTCCTTATCATTCCTCGCCCTTCTCATCCTCCTTCATCCTCTTCATATCTTTCTCTTCCTCATCGTGCTTCTGCTGCTCCCTCTTTTGCTCCCTCTCCAGCTGCGCGTCTGCACACGGATGTCCGGCCGCCGAGTCGTGGCCGACCGATGCGGCAGATGCCATGCGGTCTCCTTCCCCGGTGTCGTTTGCCCCATCCCTACAAGCGTGCTTCTTTACTGCCTGGGGCATAATGGGCACTATAGCCCCCTCCCCCCTCTCCCCCCCCATTACGTAATGCTCCTCCCTCCCCAGTGCGCTCCGGGCACTGCCGCCGTGCGCATCGGGCACACAGGCGAGGCGTTACACTGCCCCCCCCCCCCCCCCGGCCCCCTCCCCCCCCCCCCCCCCCCCTGTAATGCCCATTATCGCCGAAAGTAAAGAAATGCGCTCTCTATTCCCATCCCCACCCCTATCGTGATCCTCACCGTCCCACCACCCCAGCTGGAGATCTGCCCCTCGAAGCCCGAAGGGAGCGGCCTGCTTCCCTTATCTAGGTGGGTAAATCGGCCAGTGGGGCCCAGGCAGCGCCAGTGGGGATAAGGAGTCGGTTCAACGATGCTCACTTCTCTCGTGCTCTTCCTCGGTTTTCATCCTGGCATCCCCGATCTTCCATCCTCGACAAGCACCCTGAAACGGCGGCCGCACTGGAATACCCTCTCCTGCGTGCCTCCTCCTTAGGGCGAAGCGAAGACTGCATTTTGCCACCGTCGAACCTTAGCCGTCGCATCCTGCGCCGTCATCATATCTGCCATCCTCGGCGGCGAGCGAGGGGGGGAATTGAGAAAGAGGAGGCCTTCTCAGAAGGCGGCGGGTATTATCAGAAGCCCTCTGGTCTTCTGGGAGGGGGGGGGAGGCGCGCGAGGCGGGGGGGGGCGCGGCGAGTACGGGAACGGGACGGACAGGAGGAGAGAAGAGGACGAGGAGAAACAAGGGGGGGTCGGGTGGAGGGAGGATGACGAGGTGGAAAAGGACGACAGGGGCGGGGGGGGGGAGCATGCGTGGGTCGCGGCGCAGACGCTACGAGCCCGAGAGATGCGTTGCATTTGCGGCGTGCTGGGCCTGGCGTTGCATGCCCGCGCTGATCGGTTTTTGATGCACGCAGAGCCAGCCAGGCGTTTCAAGTTGATTCGCCGGCGCACGCGGCCAGCTCGCGCGACGATGCGCAGCCTGTGTGTTAGACGCGGCCCGACGTCTCATGTGGGTTGGTGTTGCATGGCCAGTGATGGAGTGTGACATGTTTGCAAATTTTGGGAGCTGTCTTCAGGTAAACCAGCAAATTGCAATTAGTCTTCCCTGTGCCACGAATCCGAGGTTTCGATGTTTCTTATCTCATGTTGAACCTAAGATCCCGAGCTGTCTGGGGCATATTGTACAGTCACCCCGCACAGTGAGGATGGGCAACCTTCCAAAGGTACCCTTGCATCCTTGCCTCCCCTGTCCGTCCTTGGCCACTTTCGTTGGCCGAGCCCCACTCGAAAAGTTGTGAAATGGGCGTCCAAGGCCCTCGCGTCCTTATCGCGCATCCTTGAGAAGGAGTAGGAGTAGGAGGAGGAGGAATAATATTAATGATAATAAAACGAATAATAAGAATAATAAGAACACGCGCAATAATAAACATATGAATAATAATAGTAACCATAATGCTAATCATAATAATGAGTAGGAGTAGGAGGAGGAGGAGGAGGAGGAGGACGAGGAGGAGGACGAGGACCAGGACCAGGACGAGGAGGAGGAGGAGGAGGAGGAGGAGGAGGAGGAGGAGGAACACGAGGACGAGGGCGAGGACGAGGACGACGCGGGCCGACTGCAGCCATAACCCCCTGGGCCGCTCGACCGGCTCGCGCGCTCGCGCAAGGTCCGCTTTCGCGGAAATTATGTGGCCCTTCTCGGGCCCCCCAGGGCTTCGCGGGCGCTTCCGTAGACCTCCGCTCCCTTGTGAGGGCGGCATGCACGTTCGCGCAGGGCGGCCGGCCTTTCCGGCCGCCGACGCGCGGGTGGCGCACGGCGGTCAGCACGCGGGTCGTGTTGTTGGGCCTCAACATCGCGGCCCTGTATATTCGGTGAGCAACGCAGGAGCCTTTCCCGTCCACCTTCCCCTGACGCATCCTGCGTCGCGGGGTGGTGCTCCCAGGCCCCTATTCGAGGCGGGGATTTATATATATATATATATATATATATATATATAGCCACCGCCCGGGGGATCGATGCTCTCGGACCTCCACGGGCGGTGGATATGGACATCCTATCCAGGTCCCCGGGGGCCTAAATGTATCCACATCCACCGCCCGCCGGGTCCCCGGGACGTCGGTTCCCATGCGGTGGATATGGATGAATCCCCGCCTCGCACCCTTTGGCGTGGATCGCTCCTGGTGGTGCTGTTCGGCGTGGCGCGGTGGGCGCGCTGCTTCCTCAGATGCGGCGGGGCCCTGCCCAGGCGACGCGCGCCCCGAGGTCCACGGAGGATGAACCACCCCGTCCCCCTTGATTTGCGTTTGCTGTTGTCGGCGGCGAACGAGGGGGGAAGTGAGAAGGAACAGGGCTTGTCAGAAGGAGGCGGGGCTTTTCAGAAACCCTCGGGCCTTTGAGATGTTTTTTGTGTCGTCGGGGAAGGCTTAGAACACTTCTCACGTCGGTGGGGCTTCCGAGTCTATCGAGAAGACACAAGGCCCGCCCCTTGTCACTTCCCCCCTGGGCTCGCCGTCGACAGGCTGCGTTCGGCCCAAGGTCGAGGAACGAATCGCCACCCCGACCCCGTGATTTGCATTTGCGAAGCGGTCCTGCGCGTTCATTGAATAGCCCAACCCTAGTCGATTCCTTTTGTAAGCGCTTTTGTTGAACGCGCTCTTTATTTCGGGCTGGCCATTCTGCGGGTGGTTCTGGAGCCCTCCAACGAAGGCAGGGGGCGCCCTTGGACACCCCCGATGGGGTCGGCTCTCTGTTCATGGTCGCCGTGGCGCAGCTCTGTTGGTTTAGGCGCAATTCGCAGCGCCTGTTGCGCTGGATGACCAGTGCGCGTACAGAACATCCATGGTATATTCAGGAGGAAAAGAAACACACAGACAAAATTAATCGTCGAGTCCCAGGAAAATATGGGAAAATATGGGAAGTGGGGGGAAGACAAAATTCCAGAAAATATGAGAAAATATGGGAAATCATTTTATTTGTGCGTATTTATTTGTGTGTCCCTGGGCCCCTTCATATATGCAAAACTTCCTTAGATCGGTCAGCAAATCAGGGTCGAGCAGCCACTGGGCACGCGACGTGCACGCCTCCTGCGCGCTCGCCTCTGCGTGGGATGACTGACGAGCCTGCCCTTCCTCTCTCTCTCTTCTATCTTTTCATGCCATGTTTAAAGTCTTCTATGTTCTTTTCATCTCTTCGCTTCATTCGTATTTTTCGCTTCCCTTCACTTCTATCCACCTATTTCCCCTTTTTTATTGTTTCCTCATACTTTCTTCTCTCTTCTTTGTATTTTTCCTTTCTAATTTACTGTTCTGCTGTGTTCTCCTCTTTTCTTTGTTCGTCTCTTCTGTCATCGTCCCTTCCCTTCCCCTCTCTTCTCTCATCTCTTCAAATCATCCTTCTGATTCCTGATACCTTATGATATAGTGTATTCCCTTCAGTTGTGTCCTCTTCTCTTCTCTTTCTTCCTCTTGCGAAGCTCTCTCCCGGAGCTCCTGGTGGCGGGCGTACGGGCTGGCCCGTACGCCCGCCACCAGGATTTTTGTTCCCGGCGTCCTGGGCCTGCCTGCCGTGCTCCCGAGCCCCACGGGTGGACCCGCGAGGCAGAGCTCCGCCCGGGACCCTCCAGAAGCGGTGCTCGGCAGCCTGTCGCCCGGGGGGCCAAGCATAGCTTCCTGGAGACCGGTGCTGTACTTCGAAGAGTAAAGGACCACACAAACATAAACTGTCGGCGCCCCGCGCGGACTTCCTGGATCCGCGCTGGGCCCCCCCCCAGCGGCGCCTCTGGCGCCGCCCTTCGGCGCGCTCCGCGCGTCAAGGAGAAGGGGCCCAGCGCGAATCCCGAAGCAGTGCTCGGCAGCCTGTCGCCCAGGGGTCAAACATAGCTTCCTGGAGGCCGATGCTTTATTGCGAAGGCCCTACGGCCGGTGCCGCCGACCCTGAATGACGACGGCGACGAGCGCTCTCGGGGACCTCTGGGGGGTAGTTTGGGGGCCTCTTGGGAAGCTCTCAGGAGCCGCTTGGGAGCCTCGTGGGGGCCTCTCGGGGCATCCTGGGGGTCTCTTGACCTTCCAGAAGAAGTGTTCAATAGCCTGTCGCCCAGGGGTCCAACATAGCTTCCTGGAAGCTGTTGTTTTATTCCCTGGCGACCACGGGCGTGATGGGGAGCGTGGGACGGGGTGACGGGGCCTGGCGCGAATCGTGACGTAACCAGGGGGGGCGCGAGCTGGTCACGGGGGTTATGGCGAACATTGCCAGTCTGGGCTCCAGGAGCTTGTCGACGGTCAAACATTCGAGGGAAGAAACACCAGGACCATGATCCAGATTTCGTGGGATCCTGTCGATGCCGATCTTGGTCATGGTCCATGTTGGCCGTGGCCGATTCTCGCGGATGATCCACGATTTAACGCGGACCACGATGGACGGTGACCAAGATTGGCACGACCTTTTCGCGTTCAGTCTTGGTCATGGTCCCCGTATTCTTCCTCTCCGAAAAGAGATCCTTCGACATCCCTTCAGGTGCCTTCTGACCAGGGCCTCCGGTCGGATCCAGCCGTGACCACGAGGGCGCCCCCCCGAAACGACCGGGAACCTGCAGAGAGCGAGCCTCGAAGCTGGCGGGGGAGGTGAGAGGAGGAGGAGGTATGGGGAGGAGGATGGAGGAAGGAGGAGGAGGATGAGGAGAGGAGGAGGAGGAGGGAGGAGGAGGCGAGGCGAAAGGCGGAGGAGGAGAGGAGGAGGAGAGGAGGAGAGGATGAGATGAGGAGGCGGAGGCGATGCGGAGGCGGAGGCGGAGCGCGGAGGCGGAGGAGAGGAAGGAGGAATGATGAGGACGGAGGAGGAGAGGAGGAGGCGGAGGCAGGAGGCGGAGGCGGAGGCGGAGCGGAGGCGGAGGCGGAGGCGGAGAGGAGGAGGAGGAGAGGAGGAGGAGGAGGCAGGAGGAGGAGGAGGAGGAGGGAAGGAGGAGGAGGCGGAGAGGAGTATGTAGAAGGAGGAGATGAGAAATCCCGAGCGTTGCCCCTGACGCTCGACTTGCCGACGGGGGCGAGGGGACGAGGCGGGAGCACTGAAGTCATCCGACCGCCCGCGGACGCGCGCTGGCCTCGCCCTCCCCCCCCCCCCGTGCCTTCGCGGTGGATGTTTCTGTTTCTCCGAAGTGCTTATGCGACCCCCTCATCCTCCTCCTCCTTCTCTCCTCCTCCTCCTCCCTCCTCCTCCTCCTCCGCGCTCTCTCCTCCTTCCCTCCTCCTCCTCCTCCTCTCCTCCTCCTCCTCCTCCTCTTAATACTCTCCTTCCTCCTCCTCCTCCTCCTCCTCCTTCTCCTCCTCCTCCTCCTCCTAAGAGTCCTACTAAGAGTCCTCCTCCTCCTCCTCCTCCTCGTCCTCCTCCTAATAGTTCTCCTCCTCCTCCTCGTGTCGCATACGGCCCTGGGGGAAGCCGTGCACTTCGCGGTTGTCGGGCCCTGCGCTTGCCAGGCAGCGCGGCGCACGCGCCGACCTACGACGCCGGGACGCGCGCTCGGCTCCCTCATCTTGGCTTACGGTGGGATCGTTCGTTCAGGAGTGTGCCCAGGAGACTGCGCACCCTGGAGTACTCCTCCATTCGTTAGGGCGGCGGTCATATCCATGGCCGATCCGCGATTGGAGCTCCACCAGCTTCCAGACCCTGGATTCCTTATCTAAGGGTTCCTTGTCCACTGCCCCCACCGTAGGCGTTCTGCAGCAGAAGGTGTGCCAGGGGCGATGGCCAGAGGAGGAAAAGACACCGATACCGCTGTCCTGGCCTCGCTCTCGCTTCTTGCGTGTCCTGGGGAGGCCCTCGTCGCTACCGCTGGATTCGCCTTGGAGTTCTGGTCAGAACGCACCCTGGGAGCGGTCCTGGGAGTAGAGGTATCGGTATCTTGTGGGTTCCCCAGGGAGACGGGAGGACGAGAGGTTCTCGGGAGTTCCCTGTGATTGGCAGCACCTTCTCTCGATGCAGATCAGAAGGATCCCCTCAAGTCTCCCAGGGCGCATCCCCTAGCGTGTCATTGCCTTTGGGCTTCTCAGTCCTGAGGATAGGGAGGGATCAGCTCGGGGGTTCGTTGCCTTCCTTGCTGGCTCGGGAGTTCGGCAGCGAAGGGTGCGCGAGATTGAGAGTTTCTCCGAAGTGCTTAGGCGACTCGTCGCCGTCGTCCTCCTCCTCCTCCTGCTCCTCCGGCTTCTCCTCCTCCTCTTCCTCCTCCTCTTCCTCCTCCTCCTCCTCCTCCTCCTCCTCCTCCTCCTCCTCCCCCTCCCCCTCCCCTCCCCCTCCTCCACCTCCTCCTCCTCCTCCTCCTCCTCGGGTCGCCTACGGCCCTGGGGGGAACTGTGCACGGCAAGCCTGGCACGTGCATGGCTAAGGCTTGCCGTGCACGGTTCCCCCCGGGGCCGGCCCGAGGAGGAGGAGGAGGAGGAGGAGGAGGAGGAGGAGGAGGAGAAGGAGGAGGGGGAGGAGGAGGAGGAGGAGCAGGAAGAGGAGGAGGAGGAGGAGAAGGAGGAGGAGGAGGAGCAGGAGGAGGAGGAGGAGGAGGAGGAAGATGATGATGATGATGATGATGATGATGATGATGATGATGATGATGATGATGATGATGATGATGATGATGATGATGCTGATGATGATGATGATGAGATGATGGTGATGATGATGCTGATGATGTTTTGATGATGCTGATGCTGATGCTGTGCTGATGTTGATGCTGATGATTGATGATTATGATGATGATGTGATGATGGTATGGCGATGATGTGATGCGGCTGATGATGATGATGATGATGATGATATATGCTCATTTGCTCTGATGATGATGATGATGATTCTGTGTCTGATGATGATGATGCTGCTGCTCATGTTTGATGATGACGATGATTATGCTGATGCTGCTGATGATGCTGATGATGCTGATGATGATGCTGATGATGGCGATGATGATGATGATGATGATGATGATGATGATGATGATGATGATGATGACTGGTGGTGTTGGTGGTTGGTGTGGTGATGATGATGATGATGATGATGATGATGCTGATGATGATGATGCTGATGACAATGCTGATGATGATGCTGATGATGATGAAGTTGATTATGATGATGATGATGATGATGCTGATGATGATGATGATGATGCTGATGATGATGATGATGATGATGCTGTTGTTGTTGTTGATGATGATGATGATGATGATGATGATGATGATGATTGGTGATTTTGGCGATTTTGATAATTGATGATTGATGGTTGATGATGATGATGAGGATGATGCTGCTGCTGATGATAATGATGATGCTGATGATGCTGCTGCTGCTGATGATGATGATGACGATGATGATGATGATGATGATGATGATGATGATGATGATGATGATGATGATGATGATGATGATGATGATGATGATGATGATGATGATGATGATGATGATGATGATGATGATGATGATGATGATGATGATGATGATGATGATGATGATGATGATGATGATGATGATGATGAGATGATGATGATGATGATGATGATGATGATGATGATGATGATGATGATGATGATGATGATGATGATGATGATGATGATGATGATGATGATGATGATGATGATGATGATGATGATGATGATGATGATGATGATGATGATGATTATGATGATGATGATGATGATGATGATGATGATGATGACGACACGACGACGACGATGAGATATGATGATGATGATGATGATGATGATGATGATGATGATGATGATGATGATGATGATGATGATGATGCGGAGGAGGAGGAGGAGGAGGAGGAGGAGGAGGAGGCGGACGGGTCGCCTAAGCCTTCGGAGAAACCTTGCAGGCTCCCTTTGGGCCTGCCTCGGACGAGCTGCCTGGCAACATCCGCGTGGTGGCGGGTTGGAAGCCAGAGGGCACCTCGGAACACGCCTCTCGTTGCAGATCACGGGGGCCTGACATGCCCTCTCAATGCCGCCTTTGGCGTCGATTCGCGTCGATCAGCGTCTGGGAGTCGATGAGGTAGCGCCGATGTAGCGTCGATTAGCGTCGATTTAGCGTCGATTGAGCGTCAGTTAGCGCCGATATGCAAGAGAGCCGACAAGATGTTGTGGGAGGCCCCACTGGGTTGCCGCTGAACACGCCAGCTCGGTTCCCGTGGGAAGTTCCCTGGCGCACCGTCGACCCGTCGGATGAGCTGACAGCACAAGCGGCGGCCTGTGCTACTAACGATGCCAGCGCGCGGGACCTCGACAGTGAGGCTGCAGGTAGCTCGGCTGGGGCTATGGTCATACGGAGTGCTCGGTCTCCGTCTGGACTTGCTCCGTCTGGACTTGGCCTCTCCTGATCGGAGGCTAAGTCCATATGTAGCAAGTCCATACGGAGTGCTCGGTCTCCGTCTGGACTTACTCCGTCTGGACTCCGCCTTTCCTGAGCAGACAGCTGTTGATAGCGGCCGCAGGAGTATGATGATACTGAGAAGAGGAGGAGGATGAGAACAGGAGGAGGGAGGAAGCGGAGAAGGAGGAAGAGGCGGAGGCGGAGGAAGAGGAGGATGAGGAGGAGGAGGAGGAGAAGGAGTGAGGAGGGAGAGATGGTAGGAGGAGGAAGTAGGAGGGCGGAGGAGGAAGAAGAGGAGGAGGAGGAGTAGGAGGAGGAGAATGAGGAGGAAGGAGGAGGGAGAGGGAGGAGCGGCGGAGGCGGAGGCGAGGAGAAGGAGGAGGAGGGGGGGAGACAGAGGAGGGGGAGGAAGGATGAGGAGGAGGAGGTGGAGAGAGGAGGAGGATGAGTAGGGGGAGAGGAAGGAGCAGGAAGAGGATGATGAGGAGGAGGAAGCAACCGCGAATGAGGAGGAGTAGGAGGTGGAGGATGAGGAAAGAAGGAAGAAGAGGCTGAGGCGGAGGCGGAGGCGGAGGCAGAGCGGGAGGCGGAGGCGGGGCGGAGGCGAGGCGGAGGAAGGAGGAGGAGGAGGAGAGGAGGTAGGAGGAGGTAGGTGAGGGAGAGGAGGGATAGGAGAGATGAGAGGAGGAGGCTGAGGAAGGGGGACAAGGAGTCTCAACATAAAACGAGGAGGAGGACGAGAAGGAGGAAGAAAGGAAGATGAGGAGGAGGAGGAGGAGGAGGAGAGGAGGAGGAGGAGGGGAGGACGGAAGAATAGGAAGAGTAATAGTAGTAATACGAACAAAAAGAATACGATAAGGAAAAAGGAGGTGGATGAGGATCGTAGGGACGAGGAGGGCAGGCGGGAAAGAGAGGAGAGAAGGATGATGGGAGGAGGAGAGGTTGGAGGAGGAGGAGGGTAGGAGGAGGGGAGGAGGAGGAGGAAGAGGAGGGCCGAGGCTAAGGAAAGAGGTGAGGTGGAAGAGTAGGATGAGGAGGAGGAGGAAGTGAAGGAGGAGGAGAGGAGGAGAGGAGGAGGAGTAGGAGGAGGTGGCGGAGAGAGGGAGAGGGGAGGAGGGGAGGAGGAAAAGCGGGATAGAGTGAGGGAGGGCGGGAAGGAGGGAGGGAGGGAGAGGGAGGGAGGGAGGGAGGGGAGGGAGGGAGGGAGGGAGGAGGAGGAGGAGGAGGAGGAGGAGGAGGAGGAGGAGGAAACGGCGGGACACGGTGAAACTCCGACTGTCGGGGACGGGGCCGAGGAGAGAGAGGATTGGCGGCGGCGAGGGGCGAGCACGCAAGGGTCTGAGGCAGTGGTGGCGGCGGAGGGTGAGCGGCTGGGGCCACGGGCCGAAGCCACGGAAGTCGGCGCTGGCCGAAGGAGACGTTCGAGGCCACTCCTCCTCCTCCTCCTCCTCCTCTTCCTCCTCCGCCTCTGCCTCCGCCTTCTCCTCCTTTCCTCCTCCTCCTCCTCGGGTGCCTCATCTCCTCCTCCTCCTCTTCCTCCTCCGCCTCCGCCTCCGCCTCCGCCTCCGCCTCCGCCTCCGCCTCCGCATCCTCCTCCGCCTTCGCCTCCGCCTCCGCCTCCTCCTCCTCCTCCTCCTCCTCCTCCTTGAGGCGGGTTTAGCACATCGGGGTTTCGGTTCTGAGAACATCGTTTTCGTTCTTAGTTTTTTTTGGGGTTCTTAGACCATTTCGTGGTAGGTCTAGTCCCTGTCAACGAAGGAGACGGAGGAGGAGGAGGAGGAGGAGGAGGAGGAGGAGGAGGAGGAGGAGGAGGAGGAGGAGGAGGAGGGAGGAGGAGGAGGGAGGAGAGGAGAGGAGGAGGAGGAGAAGGAGGAGGAAGGAGGAGGAGGGAGGAGGAGGAGGAGGAGGAGGAGAGGAGGAGGAGGAGGAGGATGAGGAGGAGGAGGCTGAGGAGGAGGAGGAGGAGGATGAGGAGGAGGAGGAGGAGGAGGAGGAGGAGGGGAGGATGAGGAGGAGGAGGGAGGAGGAAGAGGATGAGGAGGAGGAGGAGGAGGAGGAGGAGGAGGAGCAGGAGGAGGAGGAGGAGGAGGGAGGAGGAAGAGACGTTCGAGGACGCAGGTGTCGGGTGCTGCTAAAGGTGCTCCTGGCCCAGGGAGCCTCCAGCTTCTCGGGCCGCTGTGGAGCGCCTCGGGGCCCTCGCGGCCTCGCGAGGAGTTCGGAGGTGACCCCCTCGGACATCCTGGGGAGCACCTCGGGCCAGGGGCACTTCTTTGGGGGGCCACAAGCGAACCCTACCCCTAACCCCGCACGATTTCTGAGGGGGAGGGTGGGGTTCACTTGGCTCGGACGCTCCCGAACGAAGTGGACCCCACCCTCCCCCTCAGAAATCGTGGGGGGTTAGGGGTAGGGTTCGCTTGTGGCCCCCTGCTTCTAGCAACACCCGAAGGTAAGAATCGGGGAACAGCTAATGACATAAGCATAAGCTTTCGGAGGTCCGCGCTGATTTCTTGGATCGGCGCTGGACTCCCTGGCGGCGCCTTCGGCGCCTCCCTTGGCGCGCTCCGCGCGCCAGGGTGGGGGGTCCAGCGCCGATCCCAGAATTCCGCGCAGAAGTTTATGTTGATGTCATTGTCTGTCCCCTAAAGAACTCTCAGAGCAAGCGCTGCTTGTGCGAGCACCTTCGGGGATTGCGATTCCTATTCAAGGAAGCTGATTATTGTGCTCACTATTGCCCTTGCTCTGTTAGAGATATCCCCACCGTGGTGAAAGCCGCACCCCTTCCAGTCTTGATCTCTTCCCTGTCTGATGCGCTCGAGGCTTTCATTAGCCTTCGGTACCCACGACTATATCACCGCCGGCGCGCCCGCCGCAGGACAGCCCTCACATCCAGCTCCTTGGAGGCCTTGTCGGCGTCGTATTCCAGCAGGCTTGCCAGCCCTGCCTCCGTGCGGCCGCTACATCTGCTGCTTCTCGCTTGAGGTCGGGTGTTGCTGGAAGCGCACCTGGCCCAAGGTGACCCCAGGATATTCAGGGAGGCCCCCACGGCCTTCAGAGCACCCTCACGAGGCCCAGAGGGCCCCAAGGGCTCCAAAATGGAGCGAAAAGCTGGCGGTACCTTGGGCCAGGGGCACCTCTAGCAACCCCCGATGAGGCACTGTGTCTGGCAACCGCTCTTGTAGCCATCGCAGATGCGACGCTGGTGCTGACGGGGGACTGGCGGCGGGGCTTCAGGCAGCCTGGCCTGGCCTGTTGGAGGCGATGGCTGCAGTCGATACTGGTGTTGACGACGTGATGGTGCTGATGTGGTTGTGGTGGTGCTGGTTGCTTACTCGTGCGGTTGCGGTGGTGGCGATGATTGTGGAAGGCAGGGGCGGTGGAGGAGGATGAAGAGGATGAGGACGACGACATCGTGGCATCATTCTTTCAGGGTGCGAACACACATTGCAACGCCCCGATCTCCGCAGCCTGGGTTTGTAGCTGATATGTTGGAGGCGAGCGCGTTGGTGGGCGGCGGCAGCGGTGGAGGTTGTACGCCCGAGGGAACACGGTATGCGTAAAAGGTAGGTAAGCGCTTCGCTCATTCCGCCGTGCTTAGTGTACTGTACTGCAGTCGGCACTGATTAGTAGGTCGATCCTGCCAAATCAAGGGTACCCTTGTGTCCTGTGTCTCGCGACCCATGCCTCCTACATTCCTATGGCAGTGTGCCCCTCGGAAAGGGTCTGTCCTCTCCAATCAAGTCCGACTGCAGGCAAGCGCTTCGCTCATTTTGCCGTGCTCAGTGCACTGTACTACTAGTGTATGGTGTCCTTCGGCCAGGCTGGGTCGTGGACAGAAGGCCTTCCTGGGATCGGTGGCGGGCCGGGGGGAAAGTGAGAAGGGGCGGTCCTTCTCAGAAGGCTCGCAAGTCCCGCGGCCTTCTGATACGATACGTTTTCAAAGCTTTCCCCGGAGACTCAGAAAACTTCGCAAAAGGCCGGAGGGCTTCTGAGAAGCCCCGCCGCCTTCGAGAAGGCCTTCTCCTTCTCGCTTCCCCCCTCGCTCGCCACCGACAAGAGGCCTTGCTGGGAGGCTCGTTGGGGTCTCTCTTGGGAAGGCCTCTCGAGGACCTCGAGGCGGCATTCTGGGGGGCCTTGCGCCCGAGAGGAGCACGACATCCAGGAGGGAAATGAACACATAGACACAAAGCATCGTCGATTCCCAAGATGATGTGGGAAAGACGGGAAGTGGAGGGGAAGAGGAACGTCCAGGAAATATGGGAAATATGTGGAGTCCTGGGATCTTTTTTCCCTACCTAGGCTCTGCCTAGAAGGGTTCTTCCTTTCTTTGCTTAAAGGGGCCGGGCAGTTGAAATCGCCCCGGGCGGTTCCCCCGGTCTCCTGGGACCCAAGCAAAAGCAACAGCAAATGTAAAAGCAAACGCGCGGTTCCCCCAGTTGCGCTCCCTGGGTGTCAAGCAAAATCAAAAACAAAGGCAAAAGTGAAGGCAAAAGCGAAGGCAAAGCAAACGCATAGCATAGCATAGCATAGCATAGCATAACATAGCGCAGCATAGCATAGCGCAGCATAGCATTGCATAGCATTGCATAGCATAGCCTAGCCTAGCCTAACCCAGCATAGCATTGCGCAGCATAGCATAGCATCATCATATCATACCATAGCATAGCATATCATAGCATAGCATAGCATATCATACCATATCATATCATATCATATCATAACACAACATATCATAACATATCATATAATATCATAACATAACAGAGCAGAGCAGAGCAGAGCAGAACATAGCAGAGCATAGCAGAGCATAACATAGCATAGCGCAGCACAGCATCCACTATTGCTGCTGCTACATATATTCTTATATGTGTGTGCGCGCACACAGAGGCTCCAACTCCTAGGTAGGGTCGCACTGGGATAATTTTGTGTGTCCCTGGGCTGGAGGGTTTCTCCGAAGGGCTTGGGCGACCCCTCCTCCTCCTCCTCCTCCTCCTCCTCCTCCTCCTCCTCTTCCTCCTCCTCCCTCCTCCCTCCCCCCTCCTTCCTCCTCCTCCTCCTCCTCCTCCTCCTCCTCCTCCTCCTCTCCTCCTCCTGCCTCCCTCCTCCCCTCCTCCCTCTCCCTCCTCCTCCTCCTCCTCCTCCTCCTCCCTCCTCCTCACTCCTCCCTCTCCTCCTCCTCTCTCCTCCTCCTCCTCCTCCTCCTGCCTCCTCCCTTCCCTCCTCCCTCCTCCTCCTCCCTCCTCCCTCCTCCCTCCTCCCTCCTCCCTCCTCCCCCTCCTCCTCCTCCTCCTCCTCCTCGGGTCGCCTACGGCCCTGGGGGATTCCGGGAACCCGTGCGCCCCTTCGTGGACGGCGCCCGCCGGCCCGTGCCCCGCTCCTCGCGCTGCCGGCCCCCGCCAGCCCCCCCCCCCTCCCTTGCGCACGCGCAGCACCGTGAAGCAGCGCGGCTGCGGGCCGGAGCTCTGGGGCATCACCCTGGAGCAGCTCAAGGACCACAGGGCGGGCCCTCCTCCTCCTCCTCCTCCTCCTCCTTCCTCCTCCTCCTCCTCCTCCTCCTCCTCCTCCTCCTCCTCCTCCTCCTCCAGGGCCCGTGGTGGGCCTGGCCAGGGCTGGCGGCCGCGCTGCCAGGCTCCGGGGTACAGGCCAGGACGCGTCCCCCCCTCCCCTCCCCCCCCACATGTCAGAGGAGGCGACGATAGGGGCGGATAGCCCTCTGGAGAGCAACGCTCAGGAGGGAGCAAACCACACAGACACAATTAATCGTCGACCCTCCAGAAAATATGGGAAAATATGGGAAGTGGGGGGAAGACAAACAGATATGGGGAACTGTGGGGAATCCTGTTATTTGTATCTATTTATTTGTGTGTCCCAGGGCCCCTTCAAACACACGTATCCAGGGGCGCCGATGATCTGCGTCGTCGACGAGGCTCCCGGGCGCATACGTGTACTGCCCGCCCCTGGGCCGTTCGCCCCTATCGTCGCCGCCGAACATGCGGCGGCGAGTCCGGGGGCCTGGGGAAGTGCGACGGGTCGGGGATCTTCTGACCCGGGATCTTCCTCCGCACATGTCATGGCGCCAACATCGCAGAGCGGAGTTCGTTCGGAGAACGGCAGGATGGGCCCGGAGTGCCCTGGATAATTTCGTTCCAGATTTCGAGGTGAATGTCGTGCGCATTGTTTGGGGGCCAGGAATGAAGACTAGCAACCACGCGAAATTCATTTCGTTTTCCACTCGCCGTTTCGGGGTTTTGCATTGGCAGAACTCCACGGAAATCCGCTGCAGCACGTCTGCAAGGTCGGTGCAGTGACACATGCGGCGGCGAGTCGGGGGGTTTGGGGAAGTGCGATGGGTCGGGGATCTTCTGACCCGGGCCAATCCAAGCCCGGGTCAGTCGGGCTTTGCAGGATCCTGCAAGATTCTGCAGGATTCTGCAGGAGCCTGCACCCAAGCCTGGGTCAGAGCGCCCCTGGCCCTGCGGGATCCTGCAAGATCTGGCGCCCTGGCTGACCCCCGTTTGCATTGACCCCGCAGGGCTCCCTGGCTCCCTGGCGCCCTGGCTCCCGTTTGCAAGATCTGGCGCCCTGGCTGACCCCCGTTTGCACTGACCCCCGTCTTGTGAGCTTCGAATGGGAGCAGGCGGGGGGGCGCGCAATGGGGGGCCGATCGATGTTCGAGTAGGGGCTCGTCTACATCATGGATTTTCCCCAGAATTGATTTTCTCGTCGAGGCATACGTAGAATGTTCGTAGATCTACGAACATTCACCGCATCTTTAATGGACTCGACGAACAAATGAATTCAGGGGTAAATGAATGATGTAGACGATCACCATTCGAAATATGGGGGCAGCGAGGGCTGCCGAACAGGGGCTCTTGGGGGGCCCGGGGGGCCCTCTGGGGCCCAGAAGGGGACCGACACTGTGGGGCCCGAGAAGGGCCCCTCTCCTCCCCCTCTTTTATCGCCCCCCCCATGGGTTCGCGCCCCAGCAGGTCTTCTCAGAAGGCGGCGGGGCTTCTCGGAAGCTCTCTAGCGCCCCGCGCCTGGAGGCCGTCGGTGATATCCATCGGGCCCGCGCCGCGCTGCCGCCGGCTCTTCGGGGGGCCCTCGTGTGCGGCCTGAGGAGGAGGAGGAGGAGGAGGAGGAGGAGGAGGAGGAGGAGGAGCGTCGAGTTTCTGGCCCGTGAGGGTACGGTCGGACCGAGGTATCAGATCGAGGTCGTTTCGGGGAGGGTACCCTAATGTTCGTCGTGTCTGTTGGATGTTTTCGTGCATCCTGGGGAGGGCCCCCTCGGATGTTCTCTCTGTGTTTTGGCCGACGGAGGGTCTCATGTCCTCACAGGATAGTCATCTGTCCAAGGTCCGACTGTATGTTAGAATTGAGGTGACGCTCAATATCTTCGTTTTCTTGCTGCAGCACATGCGCCACTTCATTTTCCGCCGTGTGTAGTGCTGTTTCACGCGGTTGCTTCAGTGATGGCAGCCGAGTTGACGAGTGACTCTCGCGTTCAGAGTGTCTCTCGCATTCAGCATCTGACAATATTCGAGGTATGTGTCTGAGACACCAGTTGAGTGCCAGTATCGGCGTTCTTCAGTCCACGTTTCTGGGCTGCTTCTTCTTCCGAGGAGGAGGATGATGAGGAGGATGAGGAGGAAGATGAGGAGGAGGAGGAGGGGGAGGAAGGGGAGGAGGAAGGGGAGGAGGAAGGGGAGGAGGGGGAGGAGGAGGAGGAGGAGGAGGAGGAGAAGGAGGAGGCGGAGGAGGAGGAGGCGGAGGAGGAGGAGGAGGAGGAGGAAGAGGAGGAGGAGGAGGATCGTTCCCCCCCTCTTGGGCCGTCTTAGAGCGCGCCTTCGGAGACCATCTCGGGGGCCTCTCTTGGAGCGTCTTTGGGCCCTCTTTGGCCCGTCTTGGGGCCCTCTCGGGGCTGACTTTGCCTTCCCCTGTGGAGGCAACCCCCTGTGCTGGTGTTGGTACCAAATTCCAGGCCTCTAATGGAGCTGGTCGGTCCTGGCGGTCATTTCTGGTCATCGAGAACGGTGGTGCTGGTGAGGACGTGGAAGTGCCGAGGAGGATCAGGGCCATGGCACTGAACTATAGCATGAGGACTGGAACGGGTGCGTTGCGGAGCACACCACAGGGAGGCGCTGGAACTACTGGTGCTTCTAAGCCGTCGCTCCTCCGACGGTGACGGCGTGCACCTCACAGGCTTCGTGTTTCGAGCTATAGGTCGGAGGATTCTCTGCGCGCCCTGGGTTCCAGCCCTGAGCGATCGAGCCTTTGTTGTAGAAGCCGTTCAATGGAGAGGAAGCATGCTGCCAAATACTTTCCAGATGTCTAAAAGATGTTTCAACTATCTTTTAAACCTGTTGAAAACATGCTAGAACTATTTTTAGAACATGTTTTACACATTTTAAACACATGTTTAATTCAATGCTAGGATTGTTAGAGTGTCCATTGTCATGGCATCCACGAAGCCATTGCCAGTGGCTTTCATGGGCCGTGCCTCACAGGCGGCCATATCGCCGGGTTTCGATCATTGGAAGGTGATTCTTTCAATCTTCGCTTAATTGCTGATGCACATGCGTTTTTGCGTATTGTGCTTTACTTAAAGTATGAGGCGGTTTTTCGCAGCCATTCCAGTGATGACAACCTAGATGACGGGTCGGATACTGTATGAGAGTGCTTCTCGCATTCAACGTTTGACGACGTTCGGGGCATTTGTCTGAGACCCTAGCTGAGTGTCAGGATCGGTATTTCTGAGGTCCATCATCATGTGAATATTCCTGCTTGACGGGATGTGTGTTGTACCGCTGGGGTTTTGCTTCTATTCACGTGTTGGGAGTGCGTTTTTGGTCGCCAGCCAGGAGGAGGTATCTGCTGGTTTTGAGGCAGTACTCGCGAAGCCCAACTTGGAGTCTTATGAACTTCATTTTCGCAGCTCTGGAGTTGATTTCAGGATTGGGCTGGCCGATCCTGGCCAGTCTGGTCATTGAGGTGTGCTCGCTAAGATGGGGAGTCTGAGACGGAGGAGGGTGGTGGGTAGAAGAGGATCACGTGAAGGAGTAGGACATGTAGAATGAGGGGTCGATCTAGGATGACGATGAGCGCACCGCGGAGACGCGCAGAATGATGATATTTATAATCTGTCAATCCTCCGACGGTGACGGTGTGGACATCGCATCCTCTAAGAGGTTCTGACGGCGGTCTCGCTCCCGTTGCGGCTCGCATTTTTGATTGAGACAGTGCATCGTTTCGGGTCTCTACTGACCCCGCGCACTCGTGTCAGCGCATCGTAGAGGCGTTCAAGGTTGAGTATGGTCTTCAAGGCGATCCCTCACGCTGCATCGATCCTGCTCGTGCTTCCCGGGGCTCCGCAACATCGGGGGCAATTCTGCATACGCAGTCGATCCGGTGATGCAACCGTAGATGACGAGTCGGATTCGTTGCGGGAGCGTGTCCCGCATCTACTTTGTGTCGAATTTCGAGGCATTTGCCCGAGAAGCTGTCCGAGAGTCGGGGACTTTCAGTTTCAAAATATGTTAGCCAGCGTGGACCCCAACCAGTGCGTTTCTTGCAATCTATGTTGTGCAATCTATGTGGTGCAATCTATGTTGTGCAATCCCTGTGGTGCAATCTACGTGGTGCAGTCTTTGTGGTGCAATCTAAATCGCGCGCTCTGCGTGGTGCAATTTATGTTGTGCAACCCACGTGGTGCAACATATGCGATTGTTCAATCTATGTTGTGGAAGCTATGCGGTGCAGTCTAAGTGGTGAAATCTATATGGTGCACTCTCGGATGTGTAATCTATTTGGTGCAATCTATGTGGTGCAATATATGTTGTGCTCTATGACGTGCAATGTTTGTTGTTCAATCCATGTGTTCCATACCTATGTATATATGTAGATGTACGCAGTTCAAGTACTGTTGTGCAAGCTGTGCGGTGCAGTCTAAGTGGTGCAATTTATATGTGGTGCACCTGTTGTTGTGTAGTCTTTGCGGTGCAGTCTGTGTTGTGCAATCTGGGGCGGTGACGAGGCGGCGACGGGGCGGCGACGGCGACAACAGCCGCCAGACCGACACACTGGCCCAGACGACGGGCGGCGACGAGGTGGCGACGCGGCGGCGACGGCGACAGCACAGCCGCCAGACCGCCACTCGGTCCAGACGACGGGCCACGACGATGCGGCGACGGGGCGGCGGTGGCGACAACAACCGCCAGACCGCCACACCGGCCCAGGTCCTCAGAGAAGAAAGTCTGAAACCCTACGGGTAAGCACTGTTTTGGGAATCTGGTTGAAGCATTCGTTGCACGACTGGGTGCCAGCCTTGAGCGATTGAACCACGTCAGAAGCGCTGATGGGCGGTGCCTCACGGGTGGCCTGGGCGTCGAGTTTCCCGCATTTTTGTCGTCCCTGAGCTTGGCTCCTGGGGAAGAAGATTCTGGGCAGGCTGCATCCTTGTCGCCATGGCTGGATTCGGGGATTCGTCGCTA